CTGGCCGGGCTGGGGCTTGCGGCGCTGAGCGGCGGGGTTTCCAGTGGTCACTCCCAGCACGCGCTGAACCCCTCTGGCCTGCTGTCAGGCGTGCGGCTGGCCCCGTGCTTTCCTGGGGGCTCCGGTCCCTGCTGAAGGAAGGATGGTTCCCGTGGGTCGGCCCTTGCCCGGGCCCAAGGCAGAACCTTCCAGCAGGCGCCCCAATGCCTGGAGTCTCTTTGGGTATGTCTCACTACCACCCGAGTTCGAACTAGGGTGGTAGTGGAGACCTACCCTTTGGGAGCAGGCATGGCCCTTGCTGCCCTGCCGTGCTCTCTGGGGAGGGAGGCAGGAGGGAGCCTGCCCGCCGGAAGAGGCAAGGCCCAGGTGGTAAAGAATCAGCGAGGGCGACAGCACGAAGGGCCGGAGGAAGCCTGTGATTAGACAGTCTGGGAGCGAGGGGGCCCTGCAGCGGCCCAGCCCCAGCAGAGTTCATGGCTCTCTGCGGCTGACAGAGGGAAGAGCAAGAGCCCTGTGTGTGTCTGGCCCCTGCCCTGCCCTTGGAGTTAACCTGGGGCAGGATCCTGGCCCCGGCCGTGTCTCCGGGAGCCGCCCTGCCACATGCAGTAAACCCCAGGTTCAAATGCCCGGCCCTGCTGCCCGGCAGCTCTGCTCTCGCTCTCCGTATGGGAGTCCAGCTGGGCCGGGCGCCCCCACCCTGAAGGCGGCTGGCTCTGCTCGCCGTGATGGCTGTGCCACAGCCCAGCTCTTGCTGGAGCTGGGAAGGCCATTGCCTCCTGCACCGGAGCAGCTGCTGCCACCCTGGAGGAGGAAGGGGACGCGGAGCCTGGGTCACTAGTGCCAGCACGAAGCAAGGCCACAGCGCCCCTGCCCACGCCGAGCCCGAGGCAAGGGGCTGAGGTCGGTTGTTCCTGAGCTCCGGCCTTGGCTCCGGCTTCCCTGCAGCAGCAGGAGCGTGAGCCTCCTTGGCACGGGCCGAAATCGAACTGAGTCTCACGGGATGGACGGGGCTGGTCCGTCCCATTTCCCGCCCCCTCTGTCCCTGAGCCCTTCTCCCTGGCTTCGCTCCGAGTCAGCTCCATCGCCCGCAGCTTGGCGCTCTCCCCTTTCTCTGCCAGGCTGGGGGCTGGCTGTGAGAGTCCATCCTTGAGCTGTGGGCGAGGGGTGAAGCCGCTGCAGGGCCGAGGGACTCCTCCGAGCGCCAGGCCTGGGCTGGGACAGGCGGGCCGATCCCCAGACGGTAGCTGGGCTGGTGCTTCTCTTGGGGACGGCAGCGTGGGGGTCAGGCCTCTCCGGAGGCAGCGTGGCACAGTGGTGCGTGAGCGCCCCGGCTCAGCCCGCTTGCCCTCCGGCTGGCTGGCATCCCCACGGGTCCCTCTCACGCATGGAGCGTTTGGCACAGAATTCCCTGCTCTGCCCCCTGACAGCCAGCCGGGTGCGGGTGCTGGGCTGGGGCCGCTGGGCCTGCTGTCTGCGGCGGGGAGCATCCCAAGGAGTGCTCAGCGTGTTACTGAAGCCTGCGTTCGGCTCTCTCCCACCTCCCTGGACTGCAGCCGTCTCTGGGGTGGGACTCGGCCTCTGCTCTGGCTCGGCGTTGCTGGAGGGCGAGGTGCCGAACAGCTCACGTGCAGCGCCTTGCGCAACGGGGCTGGGCCGCCGGGGAGGTAGCGACAGCGCCCGGCCCTCTGCACTGAGTCCTGCGGGACGCTAAGGATCAGTCGCCTCGAGGAACTGGGATTCTGTCCCCCGCATGGGACTGCTCCCCCGCCCTCCCTCCCTCTCCCTGCCTGAGCCGCATTTAGCCGGTATCCGATTCCACCTGCTCGTCCGGTCTGGCGGCTGGGGCGGGGCCCCCCCCCTCCCCCCCCCCCGCCCC